TAAAGTGTAGGCATGTGTTATCACAGTCATTGGGACTCTCTATTGGGCCAAGGTGCATCCCAGACTGCAGGGGTCACTGTTGACCAAGTTTTTGATTTTTCTGTCTTTTGACTTGCTACAGAACTTCAGGGTGATATTTGGTAATTATTCACATATTGTGGTTAAGGTACAGCAATGTACATACCCTTGTTGCCAGTGCCTCTGTCTTTCATTTTGCTCATACTCTAACCTTGTTAGAAATCGTGGGGAGAACCCATCATAGTAGTTTGCTACCCTGAACTCTGTTTTACAGCACCTGGATCCAATTCTATTTTTTTTAACACAAACCTTATTAATTCTGCTGTAACAGCTTATGAATGATTCTTTTTTTTCTCTCTGCAGCTCCCACAATAGAATGACACAAATAGGCCGAGCATAGTGAAACTCACTTGTTCTTGTTAGCATACTTAACATTTGGATATGTTTGATTCAAATTCTTTCTTTTTATGAGTATTTTCAGTCATAAAGGTAATACCTCTGGAACGAAACAAAAAGAGAATACATGGGTGAAAGCTAACCATGTGTATATCTGTGTCAGTGATGTGAAAGGGAGATAGTTTTAGGTACCTCTTCACAGATGACAGCTCAATGTTATGTCTGCAAATTCACTGCTCTGTGATCAGTCACTCAATTTCACTGTATGTTGTATATCAGCATTCTGTAACATAGCATTCATCTTTTTATATAGGGTAATATAGCATATTACTACAAAACTGTCGCAATGACAACAATGCCAGTGACAGTCAATAAACATATGCAATGAGATGAGTCATCATATTTTCCGAAAAAAGCACACGTGTTGCAACATGCCATGTCTGAAATAACCTTATGATAATCTAACTGATGTCAATGAGGGGCTCATTAAAAGCAGTTTGAACACTTTTGCTTGACAATCATACACACACATGGTCTCAGTCAAAAGAGGAAGTGAGGAGGAACCTTAATTTGAAAAAGAAACAGTCCCAACATCTGGAAGCACTTTCACCCTTTGACCCCATTCCCTGCTCCATACCTCCTCTGTCTCCTCCACCTCACCACAGGTCTTCTAGAACTGTGTCTGGAAGGAGTTAAATGTAAGGTCCATGCTCAAAATAGTCCTCATAAAATACATTTTATCAAAGTACATTTTAAGGCTTGTGTTTGGACAGAGACGAGGGGTAGAGACAAAAGGTGGTTTAATGTAAAACTAGCAACAAAGGCTGAATATGGTTACAAGGTGAATGTCCACAGAGTTGACTCAGACCAGAGTTGTGTCCAAAGTTCAGATCCAGTGTTTGGGGTTTTAGGCTGAAGCAAAGGCTAGCAGAAGTCTAACTTGGAACAATGAACTCACAGTCTTGTTTGTTTACTTTTATTTAATTTACATGTTTTTTTTCAGACCACCTTTTTAGGGGGGTGATATTTTTTGTTGGTCAATCTAAGTTTCCTTTATGAACTACATTAGTTTGGATGGACTTGAATTTTCTGTTAATTGCACTACGTTTCTGATTAAAATAACATGTCATTGATTAAAATACATTTTGTAATTATTAATTTTATTTTTGTCTTTGTGGAAAATACAATAATTATACCACAGAAGGCTGATGATTCAAAAATGTACAAAAGCAATTAGATAAGTCATTATGTTGGGTGATTTGTAATGAGGTCATATTTCCCTTTGATCAAACGACATTTTTTCAAATTGAAAATGTGCAATTTATTAATTAACAAAGATGTTTAGCAGTTTATATCATTAATTAGATTCTAACGGTTTTTTGTAGAATGTGTTCATGTTACTTAATGTAAACGTTCTTTGTTTATATGTGACTTTTTTTTCCCTCACTACTCTGTTGCGTCATCCATGGCAGAGGGGAGGGTTTCTCCTTTTAAGCTGGAGTGTAACTGACTGTGAGTCACTTCATTAGAGGTGGACGTGCTTCTCTTTTCGCTCTGCGGGTCGGCGGTTGCACGAGACCACTGGGAATCCTTTCACTTCACGTCACTTTCACAGTATCAATGAACGTACCAATATTAGAGATCGGATGCGGAGGATTATTCATTGGGAGCGAGCGACTCGGCACAGAGCGCACGGAGGGGACGCACACGCGTGCTGCTGCAGTGTTTTATTTTCCCCTCGGCTCACTGACATGGTTTGAACACTGCTCTTGTTGCTGAGGGCTGAGTCTGAAGGTGTCCGCATCCTGTCTTCGTGGATAAGATCAGCTCAGAGTCCCAGGGAAGATGCGGTGGATGGAAGTGTCGCATCTATGGCTGCTGCTCGTCACTGTGGTGTCGGTCAGCGGGTTTCCCACCAAATTACAGCGGACCTCTGTCAGAGACAGAAACACTTCAGCGTCTCCTGCTAAGGTACACTACTCTTCTATCCTCCCTGTTGTCCACAACATGTCATGGGGGGTTAAGAGAAGCGTGGGGAGAAGTTTTACAACTTAAAGTTTGTGATAAAATGTCTATGTCAGATATTTCATATTGCCACGTTATGATCCAAATTTCGATTTCAGGTAAATAAATCTTTGAGGATCAATAAAGGCTATCAGAGTTGCATTTATTGCTTAAGTTCCATAAATCTTTAACAAGCATTGTAGATGGTGTGACCTAACCTTTGTCTGTTCACAGTAAGCAACTTTTTACAAACTGATGGATGTTGGCTCAATTTTTTGAACTCTGACTTATTAAAATTGCCCATAAGGTAGAAGTCACTCTCCCAAACGGTAGGCGCAGTTGTGTAACTGTATGACAAGAATAATAGCAATACACACAGGTCTAATGGCGTTACCAATAAAATAAAAATAGGGTAGAGAGGAAAAGCACAAACTAAATCTGTCTCTCTAAAATCTCATCCCTCCTTGAGTCTGATTGTGTACCGGGGTGGCTGTAGCTCAGGGGTTAGAGCGGGGTCATCATCTGAGGGCTGGTGATTCGATCCTAGTCTTCCCCAGCCTTCCCCATTCCACATGCCAGGGTAAGATACTGAACCCCAGATTACCCTGGTGGCTGAAAGTGCTAAAAGTAAGCAGGACTCTTTCACATTTCCTCACATCTACTTTTCTTGCACACACTGAAATTATTCATTTAGAAACAGGAATAGTATCTGTATTTTTCCCCTGACCTTATTAACTATACTGTTCAAGTATATTCATATCAATATGAACATTAATACAAATATGCTAATATGTTAACGTTCTGGAGATTTTTAAAGAGTGATAAACCCAAATCAGCTGATCATGTCTCAATAGAAGCCAACATTGTATTGGTCTTGTTGAACTACAATAACACACAGTCCCATTCTGTTATAGATTGGTGTTACAGAATGATGATTATTTTTTCTCACAAATTATCCGAGCTGTGTACAGACACTGGCAGATTTTATCAACTGCAGCAAATGAATTCCAGTCATAATACTTTTGAAATACTATTTAAACTGGTGAAAGGGGTGGCCAACATAAGCTACAAGTCAAAGGCTGCTACTCAAATGTCTTAATTGATCTTTGCCAATAACAAATTCTACAGCCATGCTAGTAGCTCAATCAGGCTACACTTATGGGGACCAAATGTAAGCATTAGCATGTTAAGATTCCATACCCTGTTGATGGTAATGGTACTACCACTGCCATCATCTAAGTATGTGAATGTGTTACCCTCTGCTACTTAGGAGTAAGCACTAAGTGCAGCTGAGGGTGAAGAAAAATGTGTTGACTGCCAAAATCATCAGGATTGACTCTAGAACCATAGAAGCCTGCTCCAGAAGTTCTTCTTCTCATAGAGAAGAGTGCTGCACATAGATGCATCACTGTATGAAGGTGTGTGTGAATAGGTGAATGTAAAACTGAACTAAAGCGCTTTGAGTGCTCATCAAGACTACACTACACTACACAAGACGGCACTATATAAATACAGACAGTAATATAAATTACCATTTACACTCTCTTGTCTAGAACCATGTTGCTTGAGAGGGGAGGGGAGATAAAGGGTCGGTAACGGATCCATCAACCTCAAAGCTTTTTCAGAAATGGGACTGACACTCAGAATCCATCCACAGATGTGAGTTATTCCCAAGCTACTGTCCAAAAGGCTCAAATGACTTTGCAGGTGTGGCAATTGACAATGCAACCAGGGTCTGAACACAACAGCCAGAGACAAACCATTCAGGCTTTAACATTTTATTCAGACACTTAGTGCAAACAAAACTGAAATACAAACATAAATCCAGAAATGAATGCTGGCTTGTCATCTTGAATCGAGTTTATTCGGCCAACTAGTCTCAGCTGTGCCAGTCCCCTCACCTCACTGAGCCACCTCCACAGCAGGCTATCTGGATGACAAAATAAATGTGTTCCTATAAAAAGTGACAATTCAATTTTCTGCGACAAAAGTCATGGAGAACAGAAATAGCCACTGTAGTGTCAGAAACATCCCACCCACAAATCACAAACCCTTCCCCGCACAACCAAAATAGCAAGGTAAATGTGCAGGCAAACATGCTCATATCCAGCTTGATGTTCATCCCTTGGGGTTCACATCAAATCAGTAGTGAGTGTGTACCGGTTTGGGCAAAAATACAGTGAACTAACAGAGTTGTCCAAAGCAAACATGGGAAATTAACTTTATAATTTCTAACTGGGGGCATTTTGACAATGTTTTAACCCACACATATATTATTTGTGTGTGCTGGTAGGCCAAACAATATGTGGTCATTGTTTATTTGTATTATTCATTACTTGTGCAATTACAGTGATGTTGAATCTAATCTGAGGATATGTTAATAATGTCTCTATCTGCTCCCAGGTGATAGCAAAGCGTAGCCATGGCGATGATCATCAGACTCTTCAAGAGCTGGAACAAGAGAACCTGCTCCAGACTCTGCCCTCCAGTCCCTCTTCCCTCAGGTCCAGACACCGTTGGTCCCAGCACCTTCACCAGGGTATCCTCCCCCCTCCTGAACCTGAGGAGGACCCTGAGCCATTCATCCTGGACCTTAGGAACTTCCCAGAGCTGGCCAATGCGGACATAAGTTCACAGAACCCTAACATCCAGGTAGGCAATGTGGGGGAGGTCAGAATTTCCAGAGGTTATTGTATTATTGGAAAGAGGTTAGGTCACAGTTCTCATAGCTGGAAGGGTTCATATAATCTGTGAAGTATAGAGAAACTGATCACAGGAGGTGTGGGTGTGACTGAGCCCTTGATGACTCTCTTTTCAGTTTCTCTCCTCCACTCCATGGGTCGTTCTCTCCCTCCACACATCTCATCACTCTGTACAGCTGGTTTGAGTCAGGACAGCTTCTTAAGTTACCATAAACAGGACCCTTAACAGTTGGGTGCTCAGAGCCATCCATGTGCCTCAGACATCTACACAGGATTTCAGAAAGAAAAGAAAATGAAAATATAAAACACATGACGGCCAAATATAAAAGGTCAAAAAGTATTTTTTTTCCCTTTTGACTGTGAGGCCATAAGAATGCATAAGAGAATGTGTTACAGAGTTTGTTAGGTTTAATGAGGAATTCCATGAGGTCACTTATTCAGGTATAATGTATCACTTATTGTATCTGACTGGAGAAGCAGAGCCTGGTCAGCATACATAGAGTGTCATACTGTAGTACCCTCCTAGATTCAGTTGAGAGTAGAACAATTTAACTCATATTACAGTACACATACAAGATACTTGATATGTGTCCTATCTTACTCCTGGTGCCAAGCAGTAAAAAAAAACAGCACCAATAGTGACACAAGCGTCTTTGCAAGTTTCAGACTGACAAAGTTGTCATTATCATGTCCAGCTCCCACATTAGTAGCAAATTAAACAGGCATGTTGTTATCAAACTGCCAACCTTCTGGTTTGAGGGTGACCACTCCACCCCCCTCTGCTATAGCCGCACCAAGGACTGATCAACATCACCAACGCATTGTTGGTGCTTTGTTATCATGAGGCATTAGAAAGTGATTCCAATTTTGACCAACAAAACCCAGTTTGAAGTGTTCATCAAAAATAATGTTTGCATACACTCACATATGATCTGCCCATGCCTGGCAAATTTAATAGCAATACAACACAGAGCAAGCTTACCTGCCTTTTCAATGGAATGGAGATGGGACTCTGAATGGTGTATTGCATGTTACTCCCAAAGCATGACCCCCTTTTAACAAAGCATAACCGTTTTCCTTGCGCTTTACCACTCCCGCTGTTAAAAGAGACAGGCGTATTTTACTCATAGGTTCTTCATTTTGATGTTCCCTGCTATTCAGCGCCATGTTTGAATCTCCGTCTTCAGCGGCTGCTTTTTCTTTATAAACAGTTGCAGTTGGAAACATAAGCAACCTGGGTTTTGTCTAGACCTGTATGTGTGTACACGTGTGTGTGTGTCTGTGTGTGTGCATGCGTGTATATGTGAGAGAGACAGAGATAGTCAGAATTGGCATCACATCATCTCTCCATCTTGCTACATTTTTCATCTACCCTCACAGTCCCTTCCTCCACTGCACAATAACCCTCTTTCATAAAAGGGGAGAGTACTTTAATCAGATCTTTAAATAAACAGGTTTCTCCTGCAGCAGTCATCATGCCCCTCATCCTATGAGACAGCCTGTACCAGCATGTCAGTTTGTAATTTTTTTATTCTTTGTCTTACAGAATACAACTTTATTTTACTGCGATATTTGGAATTTTCTCATTTTATAATCAACACACTGATTGTGTGTCAGGGCCGTGGGTTTTTAGGTCCCCCGATGTTCAGAAAACCTTCAGTGCAGCTTTTAAACCCAAACTTCACTTTATTTTTAAGTGGTCAGTAGTGCATTCTCTGTTTTATCCTCTCTTCACCTCCATCTATTCAATCAAATTTTATTTGTATAGCCCATATTCACAAATCACAATTTGTCTCATGGGGCTTTAACAAGGTGTGATATCCTCTGCCTTTAACCCTCAACAAGAATAAGGAAAATAAAAAATAAAAAACCTTTTAAGAGGGGAAAAAGAATGTAGAAATCTCAGAGAGAGCCACACTCCCAGGACGGACAGAAGTGAAATAGATGCCACGTTTAATGGAGAACATCAGAAAAATATTTACAGCATTGGTTAGAATTGAACAGTTTGTAGCATAATGGAAGGCAAATGAATTGACAAATTATTGTCAGTAATGGTAGAGTATCCGAGTAGACATAGTGTACATCAACCAGTCTTTTTGTAATCATAGTCCACGATCAGCAGCCACCACAATCACCATAATGATCGGGTGCCACCATAGTCCACAATCTATCGTCATGATTCACTGCCGATCAGGATCCCCCATCATCTGCCACCTCGATCTCATTTCCAGTATGTCTGAGTATTTGAATGAGGCTGCAGTCAAACAGGATCATCATTACCAGGGGAAAGCAGCCTTCTGTGATCATGAGGGTCGTAATCAGAGCAAGTAGTCAGATACCATTGTTATATTGACATCATGTGTACTGTTGCCTCTGTGTATTTAGTACAGATTCAACTCACCTTAACGAATGTCTAAGCTCTAGAGACTAGTGAAAACTCTGATGGAGTACAAAAGGTTCAGACCAGAGAGACCATACGTACAACAGCTGGGTGGCTGCTTCACCTGCTACAGTGGTATCCATTAGGTTGCACCATTAGAATCAGTTACTTGAGTCTCTGGCAATGAGTATCACACTATTTTGTCTGTTTCTGTTGATCTGAAGAAGTCTACTTTAACTGTACACTGTATTTGTCTCCTGTGACCACTTGTGATCGGTTCTCACTTCCCCGCTCTTTATGCAAATGCACACATGTCATTTGTTCAATTATGTTGTTTTGACCCAGTCTGAGTTTACAGATGTATCCAATGTCACTGTTTGTGTGTGTCTGTGTGTCGGCATGAGAGAGAAGCCAGGAGGCGCTGAATTAATCTAGGAGTTGGAAGAAAAATGTCACCAATTTAAGAAAAGTATCAGTCATGACGTGGTCAGTGTTGATATTTTGCAGATGGCCACAAACAGATCACCGTATGGACACAGATAAAAGGTTTGATTCATAGTGAAACTGTAGCAGGTCAGAGAACGTCAACTGAGTCAGAGGTCTTTCATATGTGGCCCAGGACACGTTTGCGTTCACACTGTTAAAAGGATGTAGATACGTGTGGCCCAGACCATCTCCAAATGTGGTCTGGTTGAATCACTATCCAATCTGAGTCTGTTCACACTTGTAATTAGAGCTGTCCACTTGTAATTGGATCACAAAAAACAATACCAGTTGTGTAAGGTGTTACACACTGCATTAACGGCATTAAAGTATTTTGTGTTTCTTCCAGGTGACCATCGAGGTGGTGGATGACAGCCAGACCGGGATGGAGGTGGAGATGGATCTGGCCAAGGAGGGTCAGCGTAATGACTGGTCAGTGTCCTCCTCAGAGTGGGCCAATAGCCACAAGAAGCTGTTCTGGCCACTCTTCTGGGAGTACCCGGAGCAGTCGGAGAATGGGCTGGGAAGAGACAGTTTGGAGGAGCAGTCTGAGGACTATAACTATGACCCAGATGAGCTCATCCTCAGTGGAGTTGGAGGGGATGGAGGTGGTCACTGGAACAAAGACTGGCATGCCAAGGATAACTATGGTAATAATGTAGTTTTACATGCCATATTACATATTTACCTAACATGAGGCTGGACGGTATAGTGAAATATAGTGATAGTATTTATTACAATAAACCTAATAACTGTTAAACTCAACATTTTTGACACATTAGTACATGATTTTGGGTCATGTACTGCGTATGAGCCAGACATGTTTCATCATCATCATCACAAACATTGCTATATGTCAGTCTGTTTCAGCTTCATACTGGCTGACAGTAAGGCACACTGTTTTCATGTTGACACACACACACACACACACACACACACACACACTGTGTGTCTGTCTGACATGACATGGTCCATGATAGGGTCTACTCCCTCATGGCCCACCACGTAAATATGTACAAGCACACAAACAGACACACTCACACAGGATACCTTACTCAGAACCAGTTGACTGGACTGCTTTGTTCAGTGGTTTGAAAAGTATGGTAATCTGAAGAACCTTATTAAAGATACACTCAGTTTTACTGACAGCACAGTATACATATTTACATATAGTAATACACACACTACGCATATAGTTTATTATTCATTAAGTATATTTTTTGGCCTCAGTATTTTTTGAAAGAAATATAGGTGAGTGACAATCAGTAGACAGTGTGGTATGCATGTGGTATGCACCCTAATGCCTGGACCACACTGGCTGGGCTCAGGTGAGTGAGCTGCGCTGATCTTCTATAGAATCAAGGCCTATTTTCTCCAAGTACCACGTGCAGTTCATCGTATAGACGGTGAAAATGATCTTTAACCACAGTTTCAATGTCTATCCGTTGAACATCCGTAACAACATCCATATTTGAAAACTTCTTGTACCATTTCAAAGTAACAGCACTCTAGTGTTTCTGTTGATTTATTTTAACATATGAAGCTAGGAGACTAGAACTGAAAATAAATTATATAGACCAATAAGGTAGAATTTTATTATTATTATTAAGTAAAAGTACTCTATTACTGTATACAAATTTGAGGGACTACATATCTTAGGTGTTGCAATTTCATGTTACTTTGTACATCTACTCCATTAGACGTCAGAGGCAAATATTGTACTTTTAACTCTACTATCATTTTTTATCTAGCTATAGTTGATAGTTACTTTCCAAATTTAGATTTTTGCATACAAAAGATACATAACAAGACAGCAATACAATGAATAATAAAACACAACACAGTGCATTAATTGTGAAAATCGCCACGTTAATGTCGAGCCAGCATCATTGGAAATTAAGTTTAAAATGTAATTGTTAACATATGATTCAGATAGATCAATGCCGCTAATAATGACGTCTTAGGCAGTAACGACATCTTAGGCTAATAATAAAGTCTTGGCAGTTTGATCCCCAGTCTTCCCCATCTGCATGCCAAAGTGTCCTTGGGCAAGATGCTGAACCCCGAATTGCCCCTCATAGAAAATAAAGCGCTGCTCATAGATGTACTGTATGAATGTGTGTGAATGGATGAATGGCAAACTGCACTGTAAAGTGCTTTGAGTGCTCTTCAAGGCTAGAAAACCACTATATAAATACAAACCATTTACCATTTACATCGAAACAGCTGATCTGTCTATGGCTGTTAAAAAGGAACAGTCCACAGTATGTCCCTGTCCTGTTTTGAGGAACTCCTGCATCACATTGAACTATTTATACAGCATGGAGGGACAGACAGATGCTAGGTCAGTTTGGAAGAGGGACTGAACTTTGAGAGTTTGCAAGCGGAGAGGTCTGTACGCTAAGGAGATGGAAAAGCTAGGGTCATGTGCCAGGCAACAGTGAGAAGGGGCAGGGACAAGGTGAGGTTGAACTGTAAACTGTCATATAATGTGGACCATAACAAGTGCGTAAACCACCATGAAAAAGGTGCGTAAATACGTTGTATTTAAAAACGCCTCACTACAGCCCCGGTGATAATAATGATAAGTAGAACCCATTGAACCATGCCAGCAAAGTTTTTGTTCATTAAACCAGAAAATGTGCTGGAGATGTTGATAGCTGATTCAATCTAGATTCTTAATGGATCTGTGTTAGCCGTGCTAGTGGCATGAGTCAAGAGATGGCAGTCTGTTGGTGGCACATCGACAGCAAATTCTCTACTTGATCAATTGGCACTCAATTTGTGTTCAAACTTTCATGTGTCCCCAGAAGATGAACTGACTTTCCCTCTAGCACCATTATCACACTGATAATATATAGATGGATAGATGCTGTAAAATGTGTTGCACATGTACAGTGAAGTTTTCATGATTGGGGTTTTTTATTAGAGCTGGGGGATGTGCAGGGGGGAGTGTTGTCACTCCGAGGCTATTCATCTTCAGCAGGTTGTTTGTGTTAGCGCACACCCCATCAGTCAGATTACACACAAACTCACATTTTAATGTGCTCACACTCCAACTGACTTTTTTCACCCTCATTCACAAACACCAGCTGGCTGAAGTTCTTGCCTGATAATCAGCAACGGTCTTGACTGCCAAAAAGTATGCAATTTAGTGGCAGTGCATCATTGACCTCTGTATGGAAGCATGTCGGAGGGAAACAGTTCCAGATCTCTGAGTCTGAGCTGAACTTAGTGGCTTGCATTTCTGCAACAATTAGGTCAGAACAGTTAGGAGTCAGTGATACAACTTTTTTTGCAGCCAAACCTTAGACATGCATTTGATTGCATTTGATTTCAATCTAACAGGTTCAGCTGCAGTATGAAGCTCCAGTTGTTGATAAAATGTTGGCACTTATATTTGTCAGTGAAAGCTGAGTGAACAGTAATGCTAGCATACAGCCATCATCACTCTCACTGCCCCCCAACTCCCCTGCCTTTCTTTTGAAGTTCTCACCCCTTGCTCCTGCAGACGTTGTTTAAATACAGAGGAGCATGTCTCCGAGGTCCCACGCTGTCGTTACCCGACTCTTTTCAGCCGCTCCTTAATTGCATAACACACATACACCAGCTGGGTGAGGAATTCACAAGGCTGACTTCAAAGCCCACTCTTAATATATTAGTCCATAGTTGTGCTTTTCTCCCCTCTGCGCTGTCTGCCCTCCATCCATCTTTTCCCCCTGTGTTTTTCAGAGTACGAGGAGGAGTGGAGCCACTGGGCTTCCTGCAGCGTTACTTGTGGACACGGAACCCAGAAACGGACCCGTTCCTGCGGCTACGCATGCACTGCGACTGAGTCACGCACTTGTGACCTGGAGAGCTGTGCTGGTAAGAAGCAGAAATTCTATGGTGTGGCAAGAATAACCACTATTAATGAAGGTATTTTGATCTCAAACATGACATAATACTATAACTCATCAGTCATCAATTTAAAACCCTAAAATCAGCCCTATATTTGCAGATCTGACAAGAAGTAGGAACACTTTTTTAGTTAAGCTAAGTTACTGGAATATGTGCAGTATACGAGCCATTTTTTTTTTTTTTACATATTGAAAGAGAAACAGCAAGGACACGAGCCAGTTTTCCTTAGTTTTAATCAACAATATTTAAAGTTGTTTGAATGATTGGGTGTCAGACTTATATTAAAGTTGGATTGTATTACATTTGAAGACCTTAATTATTATAAAAATACATAAGCCTAAATATTTCCAAGAGAATACTAAAGACTAAACTCTTAGTGGCCCATGTATAGAACAGCTATAGTAACTATAACTACAGACCATGTGATGAACTGCAGAAATCAAATAGCAATGTACACAATGAACATGATAATGAAATCCTGTTTAAGTCTCAACCTGGCCTGGCTATGTCCCTGAGTGCAAACGATGAGCACACACATAATTACATGAGCACTGTGTATGTAGAATGCTGATAATATGTATAAACGGATCATCTGCATCCAAGTCTGACAACACACAGATGCCAGGGCAACCACACTCTAAACCACACTAAAAGAGCACACACAAAAATCTGCATTGCAAGGCAACGCTTTTCCCTCCATTAGGGTGAATTGTAACGAATGAGTGAGTTTGTTTTTGTACTCAGTTGTTTAAATTGAGCAAAGCCTTAGTTCGGGAAGGTCTTGAAGTGAAGTGAGGCAACAATCCCATACGTTAGCTGACAGCAGCAGATCTCTATAAAAGAAAACATCAGCTGATGGCTCAGCTAATCCCCTCATATACATTCTAGTTAAGCTGCTATACCCAGCCGACTCTTCTTGCTTCCATTGTAAGCCACTTCAGAACCCACCTCCACCCCAGCACCTCCTTTTCAAACTGAATCTGAGCTAATCGATGTACGCATTGTGCTGTCATTGATGCTTGCTCTGTTCTTTGCTCTGTTCTCTGCTGGGGATCTCTTGACTGCTGCTCTCCCAGCCTCACTTTCCATGAAGGCTAATGGAAGGGTAGGGAGGTGTGCTCTCCCCACTGCAGGCTTTCCACATATGCACCCGGAAGGGCAGGGAGGTCACAGAACAGAGCCATACCGCTTACTTATTGCAATATACATATTATACATATACATATTTAGCATTCCTATGTAAGTGAAATGTCAGTGTGTGTCCTTTACTGTTTGTGAATGCTACCTTAACACACTACCTTCCTTTCTTTTCCTGTATCATGTAGACACAATGTTTTCAGCGACTCCACTGACACCCATCCAGACCACCAACGGTAGCGATTTCCTGGACACAAGTATGTATGCGACCATGTGATAGTCAACAGGTTGTGTTTTGCACTGGTATATGAAACATTACTCAGACTCAGTCAATAACAGTGTGTAAGCCTGGATTAGATATTTATAATTCCTCTTGTCAGCACCATGAAACACAGATGTTTATAAAATGTTTGAATTCCTTTTTACTTTCCATTTTATTGCTCTACCTCCACTAAGAACTAGATAGAGAATGCTATAGTTCTTTTAAACATAACAAAGCAGACAAGAAGAACGTGTTTCTATTTCCCCTCTCAACCCAGGCATCTTCTGTTGAAACAAATATAGAAGGCCTTTCAATTTCACATATTTTCTCTCAGAGTCACCCTTTCATGTTTTACAACAGCAGTGTGAGTTTCACATGACTTTTCTCAGAAAAAGGGAAGGATGCTGCCTTAAGAAGAGCACTAAAACACGTTGCATTTAAGAGTAGATGCTAAACCAAACCTTATTTTGTGTCCTCAATGCCATTCAGTGCCTTTATTCAAGCATATATTGAGCAGATTTATATATGTTTTCCATCTCGCTGCTCACTTCCCTCTTTCTGAATACACTGGTTGACCCGTCAGAGAAGACTGGAGCTCCACTCAATCAAAACAAGCCAGGATATCATGAGTTACTATCTTTTCTAGTCTTGCTTTGGGCTGTTTATATCTAACTCTTTGGGTGAGGCTATCCATACTCTTATTTTTCTGATGTCCTCCGTTACACGTGGCATCTATTGCACTTTGTCCGTCCTGGGAGAGGGATCCCTCATGTGGCTCTCTCTCAGGTTTCTATGTTTTTTTTCCCTTTTAAAAGGGTTTTTTTGGTTGCTTTTACTCACTCTTGTTGAGGGTTAAGGGCAGAGGATGTCACACCTTGTTAAAGCCCTATGAGACAAATTGTGATTTGTATAAAATGGGCTATACAAATACAATTTGATTGCTGATCATTTTTCAGCCTGAAGTTTGCTAACAAGAACTTTCCCCATCTTTTCAATTCCTAGCAGCAGACAAAAGTAATCATGATGGTGCAGATTGAGGAAAGAACCAGTATTTTTAAGATGAGTTTCCGTTGGAAATTTGAGGCTATGACTATGTCTTCAGGTGTGGGATGAAGACTAACATGTATCTGCTTTTACTGGAGATGTTTCTGTAAGATCAACCAAAGGTTATTTCGTTGTTGAAGACTAACAGACAAACCCTTTTCTTGAAAACCTCCCCACCATCCAGATGTAGACAGCTGTGAGAAGTGGCTAAGCTGCAAGAATGACTTTCTTCAGAAGTACCTGCATCAAGTGCTTACTGAACTCCCCAGCTGCCCCTGCTCCTATCCCTCTGAGGCTGTTTACAATGCTGTCAACATCCAGGACACCAAACTTCAGAAAACCTACCGCTGGAGGGATGCAAGTGGACCCAAGGAACGCCTGGACATCTATAAACCATCAGCCAGATTCTGCATCCGCTCCATGCTGTCGTATGACAGTACAACGTTAGCAGCACAGCACTGCTGTTATGATGATCAAATGAGACTGATAACACGAGGAAAAGGAGCAGGAGCACCAAACTTAATCAGTACAGAGTTTTCACCAGAGTTACATTACAAGGTGGATGTACTGCCCTGGATTCTGTGCAAAGGGGACTGGAGTAGGTTTCATTCAGTAAGACCACCCAATAATAGGCTGGAGTGTGCAGATAACCCTCCTGAACAAGTGTTTCAGATAGAACTAAAAGAAGCCCGGGAATACTGAAATCATTTCTCCTGACTATTGTCACGATCTTTGATGAGCAGAAAAAACTGCAATGCTTATACAAAGCTTTTGTTGTCCCTTCAGCATGAACAAACTCCTGGCTCAAGCTTTGGGTAACTTCAGTTTAAACCAAAAAGGACATACCTTTCAAATCATATGGAAATATGAATGGAAGACATAGACAAGAAAGACTGGTGAAGCGTTTTTATTCATAGGTGTAGACTATTTGTTCAGAAATGAAATAACATTGGTGTTGGAACCATTGAAAGCGCAATGAAATTCCGTGTTAAATATGTGAATGTAAATATTATCAGCTTATCCCCATCCATGTGAGTTGCTGCTACTCTTTTTATGCCGAGCTGAATGTCTAATGGCGATGTCTGTTGTGTGTGCACAGAGTGTGTGTGTGTGAGTATGGAGGATAAGCTTATTTATTGGCCCCTTTACAATTTTACACAGATCAGTGTTTCATGAAAGGAACTCCTGTCAAGTTGCTATAGATATGTTCACCTTAACATTAAATATGATGCAAGTGGTACCAGTTTATGAACATTTCTTCTTGTGTGAAAACTTTATTCAAAAGTATCCCCATCTGATTTTGCTGCTCAACATTCTCAAATTAGTTATGACTAAACCCATCTTATCTAGACATGCCTGTTTGGAATTGGCTGTTTGCTTGACTAGTGATAATGCTCTGGAGCTACATCAGAATTATTCCTTGTGATTAGTGTGTATCATACCTGGTTTATCTGCAAATAAGATTTTATAGTCAATGCTTTTTATGAAATTAAAATGAATTTGCTTTATTACTGTTAGTGTATATATAGGTTTGAATGATTTCCTGAACTGGTGTTATTTTGTCATACATTACACATTGGCAATTTCAGAGTTGTGTTTAAAAGTCGGCACAATCTTCAGACCCAAGTTCACAACTTTTTAAAATAAAATCTCTGTAATTCAGCTCTATATTTAGCAGCAACAAAGGCTATGTTGTGCTTTCTAGACAAATTGCTAAGTAATTTTGCTGCCATTACAAAGATCAGCACCCACAACACCCATGAACATCTGACAGTCCAATACAGTGAAATAAAAAGAATAAAATCAAAATGATCTGGCGGCAATTTTAACCTGAGGTCTGAACTGGTTGCCTGCTGCTGCTGCAGTTATACGAGGATTTAGAAGAAGACATGTTCAACTTGGTACACAGGCTGAAGACACACTGCCCCGCCCCCACTGACTGCTACAGAGCGTTGGTCGACTAATTATTTATATTTGATTGATATTGAACCAAGGTGTGACCGAATTGTAACAATTTTGACACTGCATTTTCCTGGGTCCTTAACAATATACATATCAAGTGTGAAGCTGACAACAGAACAATCGCTGAAGCATTCAGGCAAGGGGTGGTGCATCATGCAGTAGTCAGGATGTAACATATAAATTCCACTGTGCAGATAATGTGCTTTTGTGTACAGATGGCTTGCCACTTACCTGACTCCGCTTTTAAGCTTCAGCTTCCTTTCAAAGGCCTTTTCCAAGCAATCTTCTAATGATCATTAGCACGGGTTGCTTGGTGGGCTCAAACACAAGGACAATGTCTTATCAGAGGGCTGTGGCTGCAATATGGTTAGGAAACTTGCCATTCAAGGTCCTCCCAATGTGTCCAAGGTCTCTTGATTCACTCTTAAAAGATTTTGTTTGCTCCACTGCTGCTTCCACATCCTCCTGTCTTAGTATGAGATGCTACATTACATCACATTAGTTGCCTACAATACGAAAGTTTGAAGTAAGTACCCGGTGCTCAATTTGTTTAATGATCAAAATCACATAAAAAGTCCACCAAAAAAAGGCGTTAGTTAGGAGTGAAAGAAATTAGTCTTTGATACCTCCTTTCCACCAAAGTGAACCGAGTGCTGGGACTGAGCTGGTGCTAGTGCTAATTTCGAACCAGTTTGCTTTTTCATGGGCTAAAGCCACCGTAGAGCCACATTATAACGTCAACAAATATGTAATTGTTTATGTCTCTGATTTCTCAGCAACACATATGCGGCTTTCAAGGTGGGGTTGGGTTATTGGACAAATATATTGTCTAACAGTGATTGGCTGAGTCCATTGTTAGTTGTGTTTTTTCAGGGGTGATTTGTCATTTTATTTTACTCGCTTAAGAATTCATTCAACTGTATAAATAATCAATGAACTAGCATTTGCTGTATATTATATATATTTGCTATGCCATTCATTCATTCCATCCTGACTCTGCTCGCTTACTTTTATTTATTTCTGTCTCTCGCGCCAACACACAGAGACACTGGCTCAGCTGATGTCTCTGACCTGCTGCCCCTCTTCTCCGCTCCTTCAGAAGGCTCACCCGACACATTCATGTACATGCTTTACCAAGGTGCACCACTAATCTCAACAAGTTGGAATTAGCAATCACAAACATTAACATAAATGTAGATAAAATAGACCATCTGTATTAACACTAACTACATGGTCAACGACCATACGACCAGCCACAACAATTAGTGTCTGTCGGCCCTTGAAAAAGCAGACAGTCAGACACTGATGTACTGTGACCTCTGTACTACAGGAATTAGTGACTGACTACTGCCAGCTCGGAGAACATTGTGTACCGGTTTTTGGTCACCACAGCCCACAGCCTGGTCCAGAGGCAACTCCCGCTGATCTCTTTACCATTGAAAAAGCTTGGCTCACTAATGTTCATGTAGGTCTTTCCCGCTCATTACTTTGTTATCTTCTTTGGATTAGCTGCAGTTTTTGGTGCTTCAACAACAGTAGTTGTTATATTCTTAGATACTAGTGGTGTATATTATTTGAGGATACTTTTCAGATCGTCCTACCATTCCTTGATAGTAGTAGGCAGAGGAATTATTACAGTATATTTTTTGAGATGGTGATATTTAAATATTTTTCATTAAAAATCACTCCAAGAAAGAGGATTAGCATAGCCTATACTGTTAATGTATCAAATACAGAGCCAGGCGGTGTATTTAATCTAGATTCGTTTTACCACCGCACACAGAATGTACAGCTAGTTATCCATGGAGAGATGTTAGCAAAGTGTATTGAATTAATATGGTTTACCCTGACTTAAATGTGATTTAAAAGTACCATAAGATAATTAAACTTTCATTTTACTTTTCAGACAATTTACACTTAACAGGTACTTTTTCTCTCTGCAACATTATATTTGAAATGTCAGGGTTCTCTGCTGTTGCAAAAATTATTTTATTAGCTGGGTTATCACAGTTGGACTGTTTATTGGTGCAAAGTCACCAGGAATACGATTCAGGCACGCATGAAGAGAAATGCTCAGCATTGCCATGATCTTTTTTTATGGTTTTTGTGCATCTTTTCCTTTTAACAAGGAAACTCAAGACAGGTTTTAAACTCCACTATCATCACTTTTCTTCTTTGATCATATTGTATTGGAAATTTCAGTTTTTCTGATAAACTTTGTTGACGAATGTATGATGAACAATGACTTTGCATGCACATTCCAAAAAAGGACATTGCATACATTTTATATAACTGCATCTTTCTGAGTTTGTTGTTCTGCACACATGCAGCCTCAAAACTCCTTTGAAATGGACATCTATGCTCTCTCATCTCCAGTGTGTATAGCAGTCTTTGGATTAACGTAACCTAATACAGTTACTTTGTTGATTTAAACTCATCCTGATCCCCTGTGTATTAGTGCTTGTTTGCACTTGTGTTGAAAAATTTCCATCAAAGTGGAACACTGAGGGCTCGACAGATGCTCTGGAAGACTGGGGTGTGAAAGAAAAGGTGAAAAGTGAGACAATGTTGATGGAGGAAAATTACACCAATTGGTGTGTGTGTGTGTGTGTGTGTCTGCGTGTGAGAGAAAGCGAGAGAGGGAGCTGAAATAACAGAAACATGAAGTTTCGTTGACAGGAATAAGTGCAGTTTCACTCTTGTCACTATAGTATGTGTTATTTGACAGTAAATGAAAAAACAAAAAGAAATGGAGAAGCCACAGGAAGTTGTCACACCTATGGTAAGTTGACATAGCCCCCAACCCCCCTGCTTGTCCCTGTAAAAGTGCGTGCATCTGTGGTAGTCAACACTGGAGGGGAAACAGAACTCTCAGTAAACATACCATGCTTTTGAAGTTTCCTCCTCCCTGCATCCCTCCTGCTGTTCTGAGGCCTGTTGCTCAACTATGTTGGTTTGAGACACTGACAGTGTGTTGTTTTAAGAACTTCATCCTGTTGGAGGTTATCAGGGTTGTGATTGATATTGGGGGCCTGTTAGAGACAAATGAACACAGCTTTGATGGAGAGGATGATCGTTTGCGGAAGTTTGCTTGCCTGTTCACAAAGTCACAGAAACTGTGGTAGGTTTGGTTTCTTTCCCTCTTTCTGTCTGTCCATCTGTCAGTCTCTCACAGATAACAAAACACAGGAATGGACGCAGGAAAGCTGTCTTTGATTTCCATGCATTACATTTCGAATGTTGATTACATTTTTATACAGTTTTTATATTTTTATCAGATCAGAATCAGAATCAGAATCTGAAAAAAAAAATATATATATTTTTATTTATACAGTTTTCATATTTATATTTATGCTTGCACGAACACACAACATCAAATTCCTTGTATTTGTTTAGCTACTTGGCGAGTGTTATTCTGAATAAAATGTGTTTTGGTATGAATGGTATCTAGATATGATTTCAACTTGGATTACATTAACATTTATGAATGTGTGTCCACGTTGAGGTCTGATCACACTGTCCAGCTCATGTTACATCCTTAGGTGCAAGAAACAACAACAAAATAGAAGAGGCAGAACAGAAGAGAATGATATCCCTCCATTAAGCCTGTTTTCTTCCGTTTCGACTCACCTTTACTCTATCTACAGGTGTTTTAAATAACGCGAGTATTGAGGGGACTACTACTTGTATTCATTGTCCAATGGCTGCTCGCTACCAAGCTGCTGCTACCTCACTGGTTTGGAACAGTCATGTGTGATTATTATTTTCAACCATATAGTTGTTGGATGTCAATTAACATCTAACAATTGTCAAGTTAATTTCCACAAGATTGGGAAAACCTCTGATTTAACCTCCACAAATGTCACACAAACCACATTTTAATGGCAGGTGCAAATGGGAATAAAGTTCTCTGTTATCAGGTAGTAAGGGGTTGACTTACAGCTTTGTTTTGGCTCTGAGAGCCCTGGAAATATTGGATTTGCTCCATCATCATTTGTTGTTTGGTTCCTCAACACTTTTTTTTTCTGATTTTCTCATCATTCTGAAAATGATTGAATTGCACATTAGGCAAAATAATATAATACAACCATAAACCAATTTGTAATGGCCTTATCAGCAGTGCATATTTGCATATGATGTCATCACAGGTTGTTCTAAGGTGATAAGCAGCTCGTCTGCTCCAAACAATGAGAGGAATCATATAGAATATTAAACGGTCACAGAGAGATATATTTATTTGTTAATAAAGTAAGTCAATATATGTTATTTATACACAACATGAAAAACAAACTTCAATTCTGTGACTGTAAAGATAAAGACACTGTCAAGATGTTGGTCATGTGGAAGTACATGATGTGAAGCTCAACCACCTGTCAATCACCTGACACCCACAGGAAAAAAATCCAAATCTCCTCTGAGATTTCATCCCTTAAAAACCACCTGTGCCACATCAACGGCTTCTTATGAATCTTGACTCTTTGGGACTGAAGTTAAAGTCAAGTAAGTTTATTACCCTCACATGTATTTTCCAGATGACTAATATAAAGTAAATGATTAGAAATTTAATTAGCATGCATGTAAGATTATTAGGGAATGTAAACTCAAGGGAGTGAAAGTAATGTCAAATGAAACCTCACAGTTTTGGGTTCAGTGCCTTGCTGTTTGGCAGTATTTTAGTACCTTAGATATAATACCTGCCTTCCTCCAGTGGCCAGCTTACAGCTGGTATCCATAATGTTTCAGTGCCTGGAATCAAAACATAGAGCTTTTAATTATTACTAAGCCCT